ACACACGTCATGCATAGACAAAGCAGCAATGGAGATAAAAGCAAGTCCTTCTTGTACACAAAAATTCTCAATTAACTGCCGCCCCCAGGCACAGCCTTCAAAACCTCCCAAGACCACCGACCACCATAGCCACAAGGCCCTGCCGCGACCGGTGCCCAATCCCCACCACTGCTCAGTCCCTCCGACTGCTTCGCCCCGAGACTACCGCGGGTCCACCCCACGTCGTCACTCCGTCCGTCCTTGGGCTCGTTGAGCCTGTTCGGCGCCGCGGACTTTCGCGCATAGCTCGCGCAGCATTAAAGCCAAGATCAAAGAGAGAGAGAGGAAAGGGTTGCGCGAATTTATAGCGCGAGAGGCAGCGGGTTGTCAGCGCGAGGTGCGGGCAGCGCAGGTTGTAGATGAGCAAGACAGGAGGGAGGTGGGGAGTTAGAGGGTTCGACCCGCGGGATGGCATGGTCCTGCGTGATTGGGGTGTCCGTTCAAGTGGTGCGAAGTTTCCCGCTCTTCACATTGATCCGAGCATCCCAACTACGCGGCCAATCACTTCGCGGAGTAAGGATCGAGCTGGGAGGAGGGGAAGACGAAGAGTCCTGCATGGGGAAAACGCGTGCAGCAAGAAGGGAAGATGGCGTGGGGATGCAAAACAAGAAACGGGGGTGCGAGACGCGCGAAGAAGTCGAAGCTTAGGCGCGCGTGCAAAAATTCAAAAAAAAAAGGTTCCAACCAAAACCGTTTCTTGCTTTTCATACCGCGGCCGCTATTCGCCCGCGCGGGAGTTATTAACCAAACAAAATGAAAAAGCCGTTTCAAAAAGAAAACAAAAGCAAAAAGAAGGAAAAACCCCTTTCTGTCCGTGTCTGTACTTCGGGGCTTCCGCGGGATTTTTTCTCAGGGATACAGCAAGTCGCGCGGTACGGATCTGAGCTTATCACATATGTGATACGCAGGGGGTTTCGAAAAATTAGCAGTCTCCCGACTGAGGATGTCATCATATCTTGGATGATCAGGCGGCCTCTTCATCGTCAGTTGGCCCGGTCATCTTCCTAATCTACGTGGATGCATACTGCATCCTCCATTGCCTCCTCCCATAGTATACATCCGATCGGGCGGCCCCTTCATCGTCAGCTGGCCCGATCGGTAAGTAGTTCTCAATTTTTTTTTTTTTATTATTGTTATTTTTACACAGCGCGTCTCGACGCGCAAACTTTGGAGATAGGAGAAGAAGACGATAAAGAGAAGGAGAAGGAGAGAACAGGGGAGAGGTAGATGGGGGTGACGAGAGGAAGTGATCTATGTCAGGATTGAGAGGGGGCGGAATAGGTGGAGAAAAGTGGCCATCGCCGTGGGAGTCGTCGACGCATCTTCCTCCTGGAAGTGGTGCTGCACGAACGAGGGATAGAGGAAAGCCCCCGGCACATGAGACAGGACACGTGGCGCACCGATCGGAGCCCTGGACCCGTCATCACCACATGAGTCTCGGTGTAAGGCCGCCGCTCCCGCTTCTGCGCCGCGAAGACAAGGAAGTGGTACATCGCATTGGGATGCTGCCCGGTCTCGTAGATGAGCATCCCAGCCAATCGCGCCGCAAAACACCCTTGAAAAGGGGGTGTTTGATATGGCTCCCATGCCAGATCAGGGCGCGGCGCCCCCGTGATGGCCTCTTGCCTGATGGTGGCGGGCTCCACCATGAAGTCCACCTCTGTCAGATGGACCGTCCGGCTCGGAGGAACTACTAATGTCAATGACCGGGGCACCCCGGGGTGGCTGGCGGGAACGTAGAGGTCCCGTGAGGACGGGGGTTCTGGATATGGGATCCGGAAATCCCATTCGGCTTCCTCCTCCGGCAGCTGCTGCTGATGATGGCCCGGATCCATCAAGATTGAGATCGGGCACACGAGGAAAGGGCGGCGATGACACGACAGTCTCCTTAACGAGTGTCGCCGCACTCCCAGGCACGGGGTCAAGATTTCGCGTACTCGCGGGCTGAATTACCTCCTCGTCGCCGCCATCCTGCTGCCTTGCGTTCCTGGCGACGGGTGGCGTCTCTTCCTCTTCAGTGTCTTCTTGGGGGCCTTCGGTGGCGCCGGTCGAGGATATGACGAGGGAAGCCGCAACGACTTTTCCTCCGGGAAGTCCTCCAACCTCTTTACGCGCTGCGCAATGTAATCCGGGATGACGACCGCGTTGTACGTTCTCCGCGGGTCTGTTGCCGTCCGCAATCGTGGTTGGATCTCCTCCTCCTCGCTCGCGATCACTTGTGTAATGGAGAGGAGCTCAAGATGTATGAGTTCCAACAATCCCGGATCGATCGTCTGGAGCTGGGCGAATGGGTACAGTGCCACCGTCCCTTCCTTCTCCGCTGGCTTGGGCTGTGTGATGACGTAGAAGAAGACGAAGTGCTCCCCGATGCAGTGGTCTTCGTGATCCACGAAGAACCGGAACATCCCCAGCGCCACCGACTTGTACAGCGCACGGTGCAACTCCCACGCGTCTTTGTCGGTGAAGGGCAGCGGCTCCACGTTAGTGAGCTCCAGCAAATACTCTGAGAACTTGCGCATGGGATAAGGGCCCTCCGTGAGCTGATAGGGGAGGGTGGTGTAAGAGAAGAAGGGAGGCATTTAGTACGGGACAGGGGGAATAGCTTGGAAGTTGAGAGGAGCAGCGGGAGGAGGAAGCGCGGGGAGCTGTGGCACCAATGCAATTGGTTTGTCCTCTGCCCTGCGCAGCAGCACTTCGTGGGTTGTGAATCGGTGTCCCCCCCGTCCTTGCAATCTAGCCACTGATCTGGCCACTTCCACCGCGTATTCGCGCACAAAGCTTTGCGCCGGCTCCCGATTCGGCTGCGGTAGGATCGTCAAGTCTCCGATAAAGGTGGCGACGCCGTGCACGAAGTTGGGTGCTACCTGGAGCGCGCGGAACTCAATGAATACTCGAGTCGTCTCTCGGCCAGGCGACTGCGTCACGTCCACGTACACCCCCGCATACGTCAACCGATCGCAAAGCAACGAGTACGCTGCCAAATCAGCAACCCCGGGCGCTGGCACGTTCACCTGTTGAATGTCGTACCGCAACTGCCTTTCCTCATTGAACCGATGCCGCAACAAGCGATCTGCAAGCGGCGTCTGGAAATGCTCGAGGGGTTCATGCTCCGGCTGGCGATGGTTCATCCTGCTCCCCGAAACTCTCAGCACCAATGGACGAGGCAGATCGGGAAGAGGAGGAGGGTGAAGAAGGAGAGGGTGATCTCGCAGAGGCGGGGGTCCGTAGGGGACCTAGCAATGGCTGGAAGGGCCGGAGCGCGGCAGCGTGTCGTATCAGCGGTCGGGCTTGGGAGTTGTGACGGGGAATCAGCTTCACGGAGTGTTGTCCCTGTGCGCCAACTTCCGTGACCTCGTAAATGCCTGTGTAGCGCGGGTGGATCTTGGAGGGGCGCGGAGATTTCCGTACCTGCACCAAGTCCCCAACTTTATAGCGTGGCAGTGGTCCCGCCGACGCGTGTCGATTCTCGTAGTCACGGATCTGCCGTTGATGTGTCCGATCTACGGCCTGATGTCGACGGCGAGCTAACGAGGGATAAGCCCTAGCCATTAAGTCTATGTAGTGGCGGGCCTTATCTCGGTTCTGGGCCCGTGTTGCTCTAACTTTCGTTCCTACTAAGGGGGACAATTGCACCCGAGGGACACTATTGGTTCTGAGTTGAAAGGGGGACACCCCAGTACTACCGTGTGGGGTAGCCCGATAGACGACCAAGATGTGTTCGACAATGACCGGCCAGGGCCGGGTGTCTCCCATAGTGATATTCCGTCTAAGGGCGGTCTTAATCAATCGGTTGGCATTCTCTACCAGGCCATTGGCTTGAGGCCATTGGCTTGAGGCCAATGCCCCAGCGAGTAGATAATCTTAACGTCCGCCCTGACTAGGTGACGCTCTACTTCGCCTTGAAATTCCGACCCATTGTCCATGTGTACCTCTTCTACGTCTAGATGCATGCACAAAAATCGATTTACGTACCAAGCTACTTCCTGCGAATTCCGGCTGGTCATAGGGTACGCCTCGATCCATTTCGAAAAATGATCGACGGCCACTAAAAGAACATTGAGCTATCCCTGATCGACAGGACCTCTCGGAACGTTGATATCCGTCGTGTCGATGCTAACCCTCTGAAAGGGGCGCTCTACACGGGTGGGCACCATCGTCCGAGGCATCTGTACCGGCGCCTTGTCCGCCGCGCAGGCCAGACAATTCTGAACGGTGTATTTCACATCTTCCTGAATTCTCGACCAGTACCATCCGTTCTTTTCGATGGCTTTTTCCGTGTACTTGACCGCGAAATGGACCGCATCCTCTTTATGAGCGGCTCGTGTCCAATCGAACCTAGCAAAAGGGTGCGGAACCGTCAATCAGCTAGACCATCCGTCATCATCGACTTTTCGTTTTTGTAACGTCGGTCCCTGCCAGCGATAGTCCTGTGCTCGCTCTGTGACTCTCCGCCGCTCGGCTTTGGTAAGTTCTGACAGCGAGTCGCCTGACAGCCTCCGTAGCAACAGAAGGTCCGTCCAGACTTCTGCCCGGCGGACACTTGGCGCAAATCCTTCGGTCGTTCGTGCATCCTGATACCGTTTCTCGGTAGGGACTTGGTCCGTTCTACAGTTGGGACAGACCCACGTCTTTTCACTTCGGTACCTAACGCATCGTCCCTGGGACTTGACCGCTTGACACCGACTACGCTGCACCCACAAAAGAAAATTGGGCCCTCCCGGATGTGACCCTTCTTGGTCCGGGACCATAGGCAAGGTACAAAAAAAACAGGGACTTAGATGTGTTTCAGGGGACGAGTAGGGACTCGACGAGAGAGCGAGGGAGGTTGATGAGGGCAAAGAGATAGCGTCTGCCATCTCCGGTGAAACCTCCATTCCGGACTTAGGCGTCGTTCTTGCGCAGCACGTGTAGCTCCCCGTAGTGCGGTTTCATCGCCGCGACTTCTGGCCTCCACGGAATGAATCACTCGTTGGCGGGACACTTGTTGGGCGGCAGGAGGCGCGTCAATCCATCGACGTTACCATGCTGCCGCGTGGCACGGTGGCGGATGTCGAAGTCATAGTCTTGCAGACGCACCGCCCACCTGCCCAGCGTCCCCGTGTAGTCCGTGTTGTTGCGTAGGGACAACAGCGGCTGATGATCCATTACCAGCACAAATTTCTGGCCGTAAAGATACGGTCAGAAATGCTGGATCCCCCCCCCCACCGCCAGGCATTCGCCTTTGCACGCTTCGTAATTAGCCTGCGCCTGGCTCAACGTCTTGGATGCATACTCAATGACGTATTCCCTTCTGTCCGCCCCGATCTAAGTCAGCACCGCTGATATCGCCTGAGGCTGCCAGTCGGTGTACAGTGCGAACGGTCTTGTCGGGTCGGGACGCGCCAACACAGGAGCAGATGTCAGAGCCTCCTTCAACGCCTGAAATGCCGCTTCGCATTCCGGTGTCCAGATCAGTTGTTCCTCTTTCTTCAGCAGGTTCGTGAGGGGCTTCGCTATACCGGCGAACCCCTTGATGAAGCGTCGGTAACAGGATGCCAGCCCTAGAAAAGCCCGAACCTGGGTGAGTGTGACCAGTGCCGGGGCTTCTTGAACTGCTGCCACCTTCCTCGGATCCGGTTTTAGTCCATCGACCGTGACGATGTACCCCAAGAATGAGATCTCCGACAAGAAGAACTCGCTTTTCTCCAAGGCCACTTTGAACCCCTCATCCTTTAGTGCATGCAAAACCCACTCAATGTGTTCTTCGTGGTACTCGTGTGTTTTTGAAAAGACCAAAATATCATCCATGTACACAATCACGCAGAAACTGATCAGGGGATGGGTTAGTCGGGTTTTGTTAACGAACTCAGCGAAGGCCATATTCATGGTCCGCTGAAACGTTGCAGGGGTGTTACAAATTCCCATGGGACACAGGACCCATTGCCACGTGCCCTCAAATAGGACAAAAGCGGTTTTGGGTCGGTCCTCCGGTCAGACTGCGACATGGTGAAAACCGTGTCAGGTATCGAACTTGGAAAAGACTCGCGCGGCCCCGATAGCATCTAACAAATCGTCGATTCGCGGCAAGGGATACACATCTTTGGTAGTGATAGCGTTCAATTTCCGGTAGTCGATACATACCCGGACCGAACCATTTCGTTTTGGCACGAGGACCACAGAAAAAGACCATGGTCCTAGCGATGGTTCGACCCACCCCAACCCCGCGAATTCCTGTACCCTTTCCAACGCCAGCTGTCTTTCTTTAAGGGAATATCGGTACGGTTGACAATGTATCGGGGCGTGATCCCCGATATCAATCGCGTGCTGTATCAAAGGGGTTAGCCCTATGTCATGGTTCTGAATACTGACGGCCTTAGGATAGGCCCGTATAACCGCCAGGAGGAGGCGTTTGTATTCATCCAGAACACGGGCTGGTAACTGAACTTCTACGGTTCCCCAGGAAGGGAGACCATCGTCGTAACCGTGGGGACCGCCTCGCTGGCATCGGGCGAGGCCCCAAACAAAGAGTTGTCGGTTTTCGCCGAAAGGACAGTCGCAATAAGTTGACTGTCCGCCGRACTYAYCGGYTCGCTTTCCATGTCACTGTCACTGTCCAGTTCGGGTTCGRCYGAGGGTTCTACCGAAAAGGCCTGCGTCAGTTCCCTCGGTCCCCACCGATATTCCCTTGTTCGGGGTTGAAACGACACCCCCTCTTTCAAGAGTATCGCGGTTTTTTTATTCGTGAGTAGGGGCCGTGGAGGTCGAAAAGATAAATCACACAGCCCCCTAAGCCCGGTAAATCTTTCAGGTAGGGGGTCCGTCCTGAGATACAAGGACGCAGGGGGTTCCGAAAGGTCAGCTATTCAGGACACCCTCAGCGGGGGTTCCCCCTGCACCACGGAGGAGAACGCGTGCGACCAATTGGACTCGCTCCGAACTATTTCCAGTGGTTCTCGCCGCCAAGAATGGCGCCACCGATCCTGAACTCGGATCGGATATCGGTCGGGTACATCAGTCCCGTCAGTTTCCGTCGAGGGTTCATTTTCGTTTGGTGACAGACGTTGGATCATGTTGATTTGATGGGCTTTGTGGTGAGTCGAGGAGCTGGCTGGGTGCGCATGCGCACCGCCAGTCTCATTGGTATCGTTTGGGGTTTGGGGTGGGCCGATGTGAGCACCACCTTACAACTGTCAAAGTGCATTCGCGCTCCAACCGCCGCCTGCCACGGAATGCCTAACAGAACATCGTACGCCTGTACATCCAGCACGATTACGTCGCATAAACAATACACCCGCCCCACCCGTATAGGCACGTTCGTTATTCGCCCTTTACAATGAATACTGTCTTCCGTAGCGTATATATACAGTTCATCCGGTCGGAGGGGCTGAACCTGTCCTTCCCTTCCGAACTGTTTCATCAATCTCCAAGAAATGGCGACCGCTGACGATCCCGAGTCGAGGATGGCGGCCGAGGGATTTCCCCAGACCTCGCAGTCACACTCAACGCTTTTCCAGGTTATAGGATAGGCTCGGAGGAATACCTCGGGTTTTTCCGAAGCAGAGTCTACGGTCTGGATCATTCCTATCCGGTCGGCTTCGTGCACCTTTGAGGTCGAGGGCTGCGACTCCTTGTTTGTGGGCAGGTCCCGTAGGACCGGCTCTTTGCCCTTTCGACTTTCCTCGAATTGGCGCTTGTTTTTGAGGCATCGTTCAATCATTTTTTCGTTAGCCGCTTCGGAAATGGTATGCAGATAGGGAATAGGGACGGGGA